GTTGGTGTTGGTGTTAATGCTCGTTTACTAATAATTTCCGTTTCTCTTGATAAATTTCATAAGTATTTTTTTTCTTGATCTAGACATTCCTGGAGTATTGGTTTTAAAAATGTAAGGGGCAATTTTTTCCCCTTGAGCTTTTTTTAAAATGCTTCTAATGGTGCTGTAATTTTTGTTTTTCATGGTGGATTTTATGTGAATTAGTTTTATATTAATAGTTTTTATATAGTAATAGAGAATATTAATATAGGATTAAGATTGATAAATTTTCGTGATAAATTTCGGACGCGTGAATCTATTTCGGACATGTGGGTATGGGATCTATTTTGGACATAGTGTAAGGTAGAGACATTTATCAGGTAATTCTTATGAGCCAAAATGTTCGATATGCCCCCGGGGTAGGTAACTCCAGCAATAATAAGAAGCCTACCCATCAAGGAGAGTATGTGGTTGGGATATTTGACTTCAGAAATATTATATAATAATTATGGAAGAAGAATACTCTTTTAATGATATGTTTTCTCGGGTAGATAACTTCAGTGATATATTATAAGAAAAAATGAAAAAATCTACCCATTTCAATAACGTATACTTCAAGGTGTAGTCTTTTGCGGAAATATATAATAAATATGGCAGAAGACTATAAACTGCCTTCTTGCATAATCCATGGTCAGATTACATTTTTCGATTGTATTTACGCGACATATCAGATAGTATTAATTGACAGCATAATTACATGCGTAGATTGCATACATATCGACAACATATATATAGCATACCTAAGCATGTTTACAATATACCCGATAGCATATACTCTGGCTATTTGCATCCATAAATGACGACATATGATGCGTGGCCTAAAATGTAAAATGTACCCGATGTTTAGACTATAATAGTCTCAGATGTGACGTATGTTTACAAAATTAACAAGTTCATAAGTTATAAATGTGCACCATTATTACTTTTCAAAGTGTCATCGGTCGCACTGGCCAATTTTACAGTCATGTCATAATAGGCTCTCATTTATGTCACATAATAGAATGTTCACTTTGTCTTGGTTTTGTTGCAGCATGCTCCATATATGATGACAGGAATTAATTCTGGGCTTTACGACGAAGATCTTTTATATAAAAACTTTACAGTGGCAACGTTGAAAGTGTGGAACAGACCTCATTTTTTAACGCAAGCGACTGAAGGTTGTGCGACCATTGAGAAATGCTTCTCGATCATTATTTTGGCATCTTCAGAATTTTCATGCATAGCTTAATATGGAAGTTCGAAGACCGCTGTACAGTCAGTCTCGATAAGTCGGCCAACAGTATCCCACCTCAAATGAGAGAAGGCCGACTTATCTGAATCACGTGATTTAAGATATACATTACATTAACACAATAATATAATTACGTTGTAAAATAAAATAAACGCCATTAATAATGAATTTAAAAGGAAGCAAAAATAAGATACCTTTGATTGGAACTAAATCACCCTTAATTAATTCATGATCTTGCAGACTAGCTTGTCTTAGAGAATTGACTTGTTTTCTCCTTATCTGACGTAAATCTTTCATTCCTGACAACACAGAACTGCTTACATTCACGTTATTCGATTGCTGTAAATAGTTCAGTAAATTTTGGATGCTTTCCAAAGCAGTTTATGTGAAACCGATGGACATTTGTCTTCTTCCGCTTCTTCTTCATTTTCAATAGTATCCTGAATTGCACCGAGAATTTCATGTCATCAATTACTTGAGTTGCCTATGGCAGACATATTTATCATATCATTGCCATTATGAGTATTTGTGTAGCCAATTTGTAAAGTAATTTTATTGGACAATTCATCATCGTACAGGATGTGGTTCGCGAAACTATATTACGTACAGTCGCACCTCCATAAAAGAACCCTCTATAAAAAAACGTCATATGAAAACCTCTTCACAAGAACATTGCATCAAAGACCCAATTATTATTAAACTTATAAAAAAACCTCTATAAAAGAACACCTCTTCATAAGAACTTTTTTTTCAAAAAATCACTATGGTCCCAACTTGGTTCTTAAATAGAGGTGCATAAATTGTCACGTGAAAACGACTTATCGAGACACATCCGACTAAGATACAGTCAAGCCTCTTTATACCGATACGAGTGGCATCGCCATTTACATCGGTATAATCAGAAGCCCTCTTTATAATGATATTGTTTATGGAAACCTCATTATATCGGTATAACAAATAAATAATAACACCATATCTATTTTGAAATAAGGATTTTTATTTCATCACATACTTATGAGTTAATAAAACTATCCATTGTTGATTGTTTCTTTTTTGACACATAATAAGCCCACAATTGACTGCACTTTACGCAATTCTAATATCATTTTAACATCAGAAGCAAAATCCTCGGGAGGATTTTTAATACCAGGTCGAATTAGAATTGAATTCAAGAAACAAACCAATCAATACAAATTCACGTGTATCCTACTGAGACAAGTTGATTGGTCAATTTTAGTGTTATCAGTATAATCAGAAAAAATTTCATATTAACCGTTCCGAAGATTTTATCGGTATAGCTAATAAAGAGATTTATTCGAGTTTAAGGAAAGCACGACTTTTTAACTATTCTCATTATCGTTCGGTATAAGCAGTTATCGGTATAAGAATATCGGGATGAGAATTACATAGGTTGAAAAAAATTTTGGTATCGGGACCGACTGTGTAATACAAATCATAAAAGACGTAGCTATGACTACTTTGAAAAACTTGCACTAGATTTTAGATTTCAAACAGACCTGGTAAATTTATCTTGGGACACCCCTGCAGACAGTAACCCCTGAGCTTGTGGCTAAAAAAATGTGTACAACCATAATTACCGCGGAGAACATTCTCTATTGTTCTCTACTGTTCTGCAACATTTCTCACTAGATAAATCACTCTGATGGCTAAAAAGATTATTTCTCAAGTAGCAGCACAGCGGATACCGGCATTAGTTACTCCTCATAACTAACTGATAAAACTTCCAAAATTGCACTTATTAAATTACTTTTCTGGCCGTTAGACTATCTGCAAAATAAATAATAAACACCAGTCAGGAATAAAAAGCTGGCAACACACAGTAGTTTAGCTTTAACAATCATATAGTAATAGTCATGATTTCCTCATACCCGGATGGGGACAGCTCCCCGTATGGGCACCCGGGTGTCTTATCCGCCTCTCCGTCATCAGATATTCATAAACTTGGAAGCAAACGGGTGCGCGAAAATGATTTTATGCAAGTTGAGTTCGCAACGAAAAAAATTAGGTATGCAAATTATGCGAGTAGAGGGAATATGACAGATCATATGGATAATGATTTCACAATTAACCGGAGCACTGGTAACGCAGCGCAAGCAACAACAGCAACAGCCGCTGCTATCCCTCGCGCGCCAATATCCTCCTCCTCGTGTCACTGCTACTCCACGAATCACTTGTCCGAGCCTTTGCCAATGGTCAACGACTTATCTTCACCGCGATTAGTTGATCTATCTACGGGCGAGACTCTCGAAGCAGTTAACACCGATACAATCATGAGCACACGAAGAAAAGGTAATAAGCGTACTATTGATCAAGTAAATGAAAGTAGGAGAGGTGAACGTGTTATAAAGACTTTGATGATTGGCGACATGGGAGAGGATAGAAAAACGAAAGGAATGGATCAGCTTCAACATTCCCAGAACGAGTATGAAAACGATGAATGGATGTTAGACTCAACTCCCCCAGATAAGAAGTTTAGAATAAGTGCGAACATTGAACCGAGAGATTTCATCAGTGAGGACACTGTAGAGGGATGGTTGAATGAGTCGCAACAAGTTGGAGATGCGTGCAATTATATTACTCAGGCTACTTCCTTTGTATCTGGGACGACAATGATTTCTTCGGATCCTTCATCGCCTCATCATTCATATACGCAAGAACATTTTCCACTAACGGTTCAAAAACCGAAAAATTTGAAGCTTGCATATCACGAGGCGCTTACAAAATACATGTGTACGCAATTAGATTACATCTCATCCACTATCAACAACAGCAGGAAACAGCTCGTATTGTACTTACCACGAAATAATGTATACTTGGGAAATCTAGAAGAAGAGGGACAAAGGTTGGTAGAGATAGATGAGAATGATGAAAATAATGAGGGAGCGAGCGAGGCTTCGAAGATTTGGGAAATTACCGAGAATTCAAATTCACTCGACCCAAAGAGCGATATGGCTGACGATATCGAAATGAAAGACATTATGAATGAAGGTGGTGACGTTGTACATATTCAGGGTGGAGAAATGGATATTGATTGATAATACTTTGAGACTACAAATAGAAAATCGATTACAAACAATGGTAGTGATTTGGCAATTAATGAATAAAATATAAGTAATTAAAGTCAGCAATTCATGTTTTTTATACGTCATTAACGTGTGTATAGTGGGGACACAAGTACACATCAAACAAAAGTCGGTGCATTTCGAACAATAATATAAGCATTACTTTATTAATAATTCAAAATTTAAGAACGCCATTTTTTAATTTGTTCTTCCGGATAAATATCAACGAATTAAATTATTACAGTCGCACCTCCATAAAAGAACCCTCTATAAAAGAACGTCATATAAAAACCTCTTCACAAGAACATTGCATCAAAGACTCAATTATCATTAAACTTATAATAAAAAAACCCTTTATAAAAGAACACCTCTTCATAAGAACTTTTTTTTTCAAAAAATCACTATGGTCCCAACTTGGTTCTTAAATAGAGGTGCGACTGTAATAGTAAGCTGAAACGATTTTTGAATAACATTTTTTCAGTAATGAAATTGAACAATCTAAATTTGATGCGTACTTGTGTCCCCCACCATAATACGATAAACAAACGTGGAAACTTAATTTGATCAAGTAGAAAATAGTATTCAAAACCTAATAATAATTAATTTAAAAATCTTAGTTATTGAACTGAATCAATTCCCTATTTCCGTAAAATAGTCTCCGGTAATGGAATAAAACAGAAACCAGCTTGTTGAGGGAAGGGAGGGAAGCAATTCAGTAAGACCATGACGCGGATGAATCATGTAAAAGAATACATATCAAGCAAGCATTGAGGCGAGCCCCTTATGAATAAGAAATAGACATGCCTACAATACAAGAAGTTACTGGGATGTATAAGCGTGCAATTATAAATATGTTAGTGCAAACTAATCGGTGAAGCAGTCTGACTCTACAGGCAATATGTTTAAGCGCATGATAAGACAATACATATAAAATGGTAGTGGCGCCATTCCGTGTCGTTGTTTATCCATTAGAGTTCTCCAAACTGTCCATATGCGATACGTCTCACATCGAAACAGTGTAGGTTAGCATCGTCGTATTTGAACCGAACAGTCTTATCCATCGTTTGTAACGGAGACAATTCATTTCCAAATTATGAGTCGAACTTGTCAAGTCCCAAATAAACCTTAGACTTTTGTTCACAATCACAGGTAAAAAGGTAGTATTTTAGATGAAGAATTAATGTGACAAGTGCGTAAGATTTTATTATTATTGTTATTTAATTTAATCGACAAAAACGTGATGTCGTTGCCATAAACGCTACGAACAGCCGATTGAAAAAAATGAATGGGGCGGAAATTTTTCAAAGAACAATTCGGTGTTAATAACAAATTGACAAATTAGGCAAATTTAAATTTTTTAATCTAAATTACCAAAATTTTGTTCTCTTCAACCAAACTTTTATTAAAGTCTTTTTATAATGAAACTACTTTATGATAATAATAACGATAATGAATTTATTCCCTACTGGACAAAAACTTGTGAGGTTCAGCTAAACTATGACCTGTGTACTGAGTAGTTAACAAGTAAATAATAAATAAGGGTGCCTTCATGAACATAATCATTGCTTTATTGTAATTTATTGTTTCGTGAATATAAACTTGCCTCAGATGACAAACAAGACTCCACATAAGGAAGTAATGGGATTGAGATACTAGATATTAAATACTCTTACTATATAATAATATGTGGTTTTGCAAATTTATAATATATAGCAGAAACATGAGTTAGAATTTCATTCTCGAAATTCTTTCCAAATATCTCTCATGCTTCTTATTTTCAATATATTTATCATCAAATTGGTGTTCCAGATATACTTTGAACGATGGAAACAAGCCAACCCAGAAATCGATATCAGGAATGTTTGGTTTCTGTGCACGAAGAGTACGATAAAGGTTTTTGCGAGATGGGAGCCAAACTAAACGAAGAATGAGCCTAAATGAATATCATATCATCGTCACCGAACGACAAACCTCATTAGTGTAAATACCTGTTCCTGAACGATCTTCGAACAGTTTCACCCCTCTGCATACACCAGTTGTTACCATTTGTATCTTCTCACGCGAAAACGGCATATTGGGTTTCTGGATTGCTTTCACGATCTGAGCATATACTTTGCGCCCTCTAAACCTGACGTTTAACATCAACATACCAGCTGCTTCCTCCACAGAATCAGCTTCCCAAAAGCTTAATCCTATAGCATTATCCTCTTGATGCATATACGACTCAATGATATTATTCATCATTCGTTTGGTGATTCTATTAACGTAATCGTTGAAATTCTCCGATATAATGATATCTGCAGTAACATCCGAAAATGGCTCGTAAAATGATGAAGGATCCGCCTCTGCTGCTTCACGCCTTGCTGAATTCTGTCGATGATTGAATGCTTGCAAGAAAGTAGCCAAGAGGACCTTAGGACTAAATGACGCATAAAACTTATGTGCTAGTTGGGTATCATCTTCAGTGAAGTTACGAAGATCGGATGTCTCGGTTACAATAGGCGTTGCATTAGTAATAGCGTATTCAAATAATTTATTGAAGCGCAGAATAGTTTCAACTTGATGCATTGTTTCCCTCTTAATTGTTACAATAATTGTTTTTGTTGTTTCGGGCATTTCATATGTATTCGGATCATAATAGATGGTTTTAATAGTAGGCTGTTCAGATTTGGGTTTCACGTCTATTTCCAGTCGCTCTTCTATCTTTTCATTGATTGCGATAGACGATTCAGTTGCTGCGTGAAATGCTGACACATATCTATTATGAGCAGTCTTGGACGCCTCCTTAATCTGCTTAAGGTAGGCGGTATATGCTTGCTCGAATTCGTCTCTTGGGACATCAAAGTATTTCGTTTGATCAATACCAAGAGCTCTCTGAATATTTCCAAAGTGGTTATCTATTACATTAATTGATGTATTGAGTCTTCGTCGTATTATCTCCTCAATGAGGTATTTAACCATTCCTCCATCGAGCCATGTCTGTAAACTCAATACGGATACATCACCACATCTGAAAGCGCAAAGCAAATGACCAAGGAATACATCATTGTTTGCAACCATATCAATGGTCCGGTTAAGTGGTGAAGCTAGATATTTCGCAAAGAGCTGCTTGTTCTCTTCTCGCAGGTTGGTAGACTGTTTATAGATAGCATCACAAGTCTCTAATATCAATTTCAATTGCCATTGTCTGAATTGAGTAGAAGTGTCTGAGAGTGCCCTTGCTAATACCAAAAAAGGAATTGTCGTCATCTGACTATATGTATAGCCTAATACATCAAGAGTCGTGACGTATCCCATTATTGGTTTCATCTTCTCTTTAGCAATTAACCAGTGCTTATCATTAATATATATGGGAAGTACACCTAAGCATTCCATACATAAACATATTAATCATTACATAGAATGCCTTATCACGTTAATGATTTATACAAACCTGTAATATCTTCCCTAGCCAATCCCTTCAAAATGCTCGCACTGAATGAACTGCCACTAAATCCACCATGAACGTCTTCTGCGCTTTGCGCTTCCTCAAGAGCATATTTGACCGAATTCATGAAAGCATCAGACGTCAAAAATGATTGATTTATCTTCTTGATTTTCATCTGCGTTGGATCGGCTATTGCAGCCTGAGAGCGTCCCAAATCGAGAGTAAGGCAGAGACATTCTCCTTCTCTCATTGCTTCGATGTAGTTATCTATTGTAATAGCATTCAATAAAGTTAGCCAGGGGTTTTACAATGCTCCATCGACTTCCGTCAATGTACTAACCGGTTGTGAGAGCGCAAGTAAAGGTGCGCAAGTTTTCTGGTGTCTCCTCCTCTTCTAATTTGTTGAAATCTAGAGTATTAACGACTTTCTTTATTCTCTCTTCCACAGCTTCCATCTGTTCAACGTTTCTCATGATACGACTGTCCAATTTCTTTTTCAATCGTTGCTTTGTAACGTTCTTGTACGCAAGATCATTGAAATTGGCAATCTTTTCATTCGTTAATGTACCCTTTAAGGCTCTAGAAGAGGTAATACAAATCACAGCGTTCAAATTTGAGTACTGAAAAAACAACCATCTAATGAATGACTCACTCTGACAATAGCCCTTTGAAACGATTTAGAATAGTTTTAGTTTCCATACACAGTTGTATTGTTACATTACGATGTGATGATTTAGTTTTGAAAGCACTTTCGAGTGTAAGATTTAACTTTTCATCATATTTACTGGCTTCATCAGAAACGTCATTGAGGAATTTACGATTGCTCTTATGAGTGAGATTAATGACTTCATTGCTTAATCGAGTAATCTCCCGCTGAATAAAATGGACATATAATAGATTTGCCTCCGACGAATTTTCTTCAACTCGACGTATCGAATTAATTCTTTTGTTCTCTATTCCGTCTTTATCCTTCATAAGAACTATCTGCTTTTTTTCAAGATTAGCCGCTTGTTCGTTGGGTAGTATGACAGTACCCTTTCCCTCGTCATTAATAGAAATACGCATTGACTCAAATTCATCGACTTTAAGATGCAAAGTGCGATCACCCAGACTGAGTAAATCCAGAGTAACGTTCATTGTCTCCGGAATATCACTTGAACTTTTCACATATTGGAAATTTCCCTGGTTCGTGCCAGTGGTCGTAAGCCACGACAACAAAGCTACGAGCAATTGTTACTTATGTTTGCAATTCAATAATCGGTTTAACACACCCTGATTATTACTTACCGGCATCATGATCAGAAGTGAATCCAATGGTATGAACCTCAACAGCGACATCTGAGTCAGCAAACGTTTTTGCCAGCCGCAATTTGTCTTGTTTACTGAGGCCGCTGCCATCTTGTCCATCAGTGAAGAAGATTATCACCAAATCGTGTTTTGCTCTGTAGATGTTATCACAAATCGAGGTGAAGACGCTTCCGAAGCTAGTACCTGCATTTCGATTGTAACACAAGCATTGGTTATACTTTTATCAGACATATCACAC